ATTGCGGTATACCGCGTACATCTCGTTCCGCCATTTGCGTGGGCCGATCACGTCGGGCCAGCGCCCTTCCTCCCGCCAGCGCTCACACAGCTCTTTCATGACGCGCGTGCGTGCAGACGGCCCGTGGATGTGAGACGAGAAGCCGACGACCTGCCTGCATTCGTGTGTGGCGAACTCCCATGCAGGGACCGAGCCTTTAGCATCCTCCGCGCGGAGCTGGGCTACGAGCTCCGCGCGAAGGAGGCCGATGGCAGGGAATGTGGGATGGGCGGTAAGACGCCAGGTGGTGAGGGACATGCGGTCTGCATCTATGCGGTAGTTGTCGCAGGCTGCAACAATGTCCAGGGATGATCGGGAGGGAGCCGGGCGGGCCATGCTAAGGAAGTCGCTGTGTGGATTCTATGACACGGTCCAAAACACTTGCTACTTCAGGCGTCCAGGATCACGACGATACGAGAAGCGCTCGGTTTTGTTATTTTATTTCATCTCTTGAATTCCACGGGATTAGACTCCATACAATGTAGGTACATGTAGAGTGTATCCAAGCCAGGAGTGGTTTCTAACAGTGGGCTCCGCGCCCGTATCCGGACACGCATTGCAAAACGCGGGTCGCTCGGCGTCCTCCCCCCACAAGTTTCGGGCAGACTAAGTGCCCCGCCGACGGCGCAGGCGGCGATCCTTGCGCGGCGGACGCCCCGTCGTTGGTCCGACAGCAAGACAAAACAAAAAAAACAGGGGGCTGGCTGGCGACGACACCCCCACCTCGCGCTTCACGCCGTGTGACCGGCGGCGGGAGACAGAGCAAGGGGAGGTGAGGTACCAAGAGCGAGGCCGCGCTCCTCCCATAAGATGAGGAGGTTCGTAGCGCGGGTTTCCACGTCGCGGAACGCGGCGAAGTCCTCGTTCAGGAACGAAGTGAACGCGGGCACTTTGTTCCGGTCATGGTGGAAGCGCTGCCACCGAAACACGCGCTCGACAGTGTGCGCGAGGAGATGGCCGTTCGCCGTCGAATGAAGCAGGAAGCGCTCTGTTTTGACAGGCATGGTTGAGGCCAGAGGACTCGGAATTGCCCAAATTTGTCCTCCACACCGATATGTATAGCCTTCTCTGTCCGGGTCTTACATTTTCCATCAGCGCGCTCCTGTAGCCGCGCCCCGTGTTACGTTTGCACATCTTGCTCACACTTGTTGCAGAAAGGTGAGTTAGATCTACCAATCTCTTAAAGCTTGGTCCACCAGAGATCGGACAGTTGTTTCGGAGTAAGAGTTGTGTTCTCCTGATACTGTACATCTGTGGCTGATTTCGCTACCGCATCTCGGATCGTCGGCCGGAGACAACATTTACTTTAGAGGGACGCGCCTACTCTTTAATCGCTCACCGTATTCGCCGTAAACCACCTTTCGTAGACAATGGAGAAAATATATGGATAATAACTGGATGGCGGTATACTGCATATTGAGACATAGGTAGTAATCATAGGATATTTCTCATATCCAAACTGGCCATATAGCCACATCGATCCCAAAAATCACTCTCTGACTCAGCATTGACTGAGTGATATGTGGCATTCCTGAATCCGTCTAGTATTGATATCATTTATGTTTATGTATGGGTTTGAAGTATAGCTAACGCACTGTTCGAGATGATTACTTGCGACGACGGGCAGTGCGACGCATGCTATGTCCACGCGGCTTGTCGTACGTCCATAGTTGGTAGAGGTTTTGGGTTCCATTGAGAATTTCGATCGCTTTGTAGTTGACTTCGTGCTCCTTGTAAAAGGCGTCTAAAGCCATTACGAAATCAGCTGGTCCGGCACCCTTCGACAGCGCCAAGCCGGCGTTGTATATAGCGAATTGGGGAGGGACACGGGAATACACGTAGCCCACGGTCTTGAATTCCCTTCGGAAAGCAGAGTTCTTGTCTGTGTCGGGAACGTCGCGGTGGGCAACAACGCAGTATTTGTAGATGGGGCCATTGCAGACTTCAAATGGCTCGCCCAGCGACTGAATAGCACCGTGAGCAAGATACCATGTCTAGGCCCTGTCTCTGTACTCACCATGCCTACATCTATGGGGACAATAGATTGTGCGAGATACTTCTTGATGACCTCAGGTTCAGGCATGAACAGCAGATCGCCTTGATCCCACATGGAGTGAACATCGGCTCTCACTATGTGGGGTATGGATCAGGGCTGTGCCGACCAACCGGGGCGTACGCACTCACATAGGAAGATGTTGAAAGGCGTGTTGATGTCGAAATCAACAAGCCCCCACCATGCTGCAAGGTTTTGACGCTACGGGCGCGAGAGCATTTGTGTCAGGTTGACGTGAACACAACCAAGGACGATTGTGGCTTACCGTTTTGCGTGTAGTGCTTCGCGCGACGACGTGGCAGCACTGAACGGACTTGTCATCTTGCAGACTGAGCAGGCACCGTGAACCAGTGGGCGCCAATTGGGCAGCGCACGACTTCAGGTTGCTATAGCACGGTTCGTCTTCGGGCTCGGGGGTCTTCGATTCGCGGCCTATATCCTGGACAAGGCCTCCTGGACCAATGACAGCTATTGTACGACATGAAGATGTTTTGGTAAGTCCGTATCATATGGCAAGGCGACGCATAACGACGTACCTTTCGGCCGTTCAGGCGTCCTTGGTATACCTGTCGGAATAATTATGGGAAGGCTACAAGCGAGATTGGTGACTGCGTTGACAGGAACCAAATATGTTCACTAACCTGGGCTCATCCTCCGCCTCCTGTGGCTCATCCTCTACCTCCTGCGGCTCATCCTCGTTCCTTATCAACTGTGCATCCCAGGGTGGTGGTGCAGTCCATAAGTCAGCCAATGTCACCATACCCTCCACAACACGGGATGCATCGGCCTTAAGATTGATCCTCTTGTAGAACGCCTCTAGAACTTTTATCCACAGCTTCTTGTTCTCCTTGATCTTCATGACAGCGTTCAATATCATGAAGTGTGGCTTTGCCTGCGACTGGACACATTCAATCGTGTCGAATTTGCACGCGAACCCTTCTCGGGTTTGTCTATTTGCAAGGGCTGGGTGAGGGAGCGCAGAGTAGCTATAAAACTTCTCTTCTTCGAGGACCTAAACGCATTGTGGCGACCATTCGCATCAGCCATAAACTATCGGGCTGCAGCGACTCACCTCCCAAATGTTGTATCTGCCGCTATCCGTGAACTTATCCAGCAGCCTCATGACCACATCAGGCATCGGAGCGATCAATAGGTCTCCACGATCCCACAGTACGTGCAGATCTCCACGAACTGTATGCAAGTAAGCCCACGCGTATCTGGATGCCTCAGGGAAGGGAGACGCACGGAAAGCCACATTATGATGGGAGTCCACGTTTAGTGTTTTTGTCAGACCCCACCACCACTCCAGAGACGCGAGCTATGTGTGTGTGTGTATGTACACCGTCAGAGACATTGCATTCGCGCAGGAGCCACTTCAACTTACCACTGACGAGTCTGTGGCTCGTGGAAGTACGTGGCAAAATTGGACTGTCCTGTCATTGAGCCTCGATAGAATGCAGGCGCCTTTGTTCGGAGACTTGTCGACAGCTCGCTGTCGTGCATCCTCCGACATGCAGACCTTGCGTTTCACTCTCCGATTTGGGGTACTCCCATCCACCGGCGTGGCCTCACGGTCCGGCTCATAGCCGTCTTCGTCGTCTGATGATTTTATTTTCCGTTTGACATGCTTAGGCTTGAACTCTATCTCGGGCACAGAGTCGGCGTCACTGGACTCGTCGTAATGAACTGTGGCCGGGCCACAGTCAGGGCAAATCGGTCAACGATAACGACGAGGATCCATACCTTTCTTCACATCTTTGAGCCTAAGAGATCGTCTCGGCTTGAGGATGCCGACCATGGCCAGGGAATTTTCGGGGGTGAAGTGGAGGTGGAAGGTGAACGTGAAGGAAGAGACGGCGAGAGTGTGTGGCTCGAAACTGCGGAGGCTTTTATTGAGTTTATATTATCTTGTAACGCGCGTGACGACAAGCCAGACAAGCCATTATACCCCAATTTGGATGTTACGGCCATCGTCGACGCAGGTCAGTTACTGGAGAGCTCCGACATATTACCTAATCTGCACGGTCTGCACGAGGTCAGTACTGAAGCCTGCGATATCAGATGCACCGTCCGAGGTCTGAAAACTATGTTTCGCTCATCATGAGACACCCTACGTGGTCAGTCGGCAGGATATTCGATGGAACTCACCTAGGTTATCTTCA